ACAACATACTCGACCACTATTGCCTCCATCTTTTTACTTTCTTGCTGCATATCCCAGAATTATTGTGCATTTAATCATGTTTGTGGATAAATAATTATTTTCTGAACACCTTCCTGTAACAAGAAATTGAACCTCGAAAATATGCTGCATTAATTGTATAAACAAAATAGCACTTCATGGAAAGGCAATATGGAATGATACTATGTAAAATTTATTTCTGAAAACTTGGTTCATGGTTTACAATTGGAACGTTACCCTTACAAACCTTCAAATTATCTGTAATTTTCATATATGTGTTTATTCAAATAATTGATCTATCATAATATTGTTTTCTTTTCTTTCATGCATATTGATAACAATGTTAAATTGGTTTCAATTCTGCATTAAACAGACTTTCTGTCAGATCTCAATTTGTTCTCTAGGGATTCTTGACTGTTCTGGACTGACTCATTTTATGCTTCTCAAATTCACCATCACACCAGATTTCGCTAAAATGTGTTTAAAGAAATTAATCAGTTTCCTAGTCTAAAAAGAATGACCAGCAAAAGTCTCTGTCTATTTGTACATCCTTCTGTGATGTGAAATATAACACCTTCTTGCTTATTATTAGCCTTCAAGTGTCTAAGCTAATAGCAAAGATAGAAATGTGTCTGAATATTTGTGGTTGCCTTTCATGTAGGCAACCAGTTATTGCTGTGCTTTGCCATGCTACAACATTTCACAGACACTTTCACTTGTTCCCACCTAACTTCTTCAATAACAGAGAAATATGTTCCATTTAGTAATAGGACATGTTTGATTGTTTATCAATTTCCACGACGTAATCATACAGAATGGCTCTCTAAACAGTGACAAGTACAGCTTTTTAACCAGATGCTCAAAACGCCTTACAGACAATTGGTGATTATCAATGTGACCAATTTAATCAATTTATTGACATGACCATGTGGTGTCCTCCAAAATCTGCTTAATTCAGCATATTTTGAATGCCTCCAGAAATAAATTTTCTTCAACTTACCAAAACTTTATTTTCATACCGCTGCCTCTTAACTCTTTATTGCTGTTTCTTAATTTTATCTATTTCTTTAATTAATTTGATTTATTTTAAATTCCAAAAATAAAAAATAGATGAAAAATACAAATATAACCCAACTTGGAATCCAGTCTGTAACAACAGAACCTTCTCTAAATCTACAAATTCACGCAAGAATTTGCTTGTACCATTGCATTAATTTTTTCCTGTTAACTCTTTGTATCTATTCTCCTTAATTTTCTGTTATAGGTCTAAATTCCAGATTAAAAAATTGCTATCAACCCCTTTTTAAGAATGAGTTGTTTCCATCAACCCCCTTGCGGTTTCTCTGTACTATGAAGGAGGTTTTGAGTATAGTAAGTTTGAGATAGC